AAAAAAAAAAAAAGAAGTAAATATCTTTACATAGCAGTAAATGTTTGACACAATCAAGTAAAAAACATTGTAAAACAATAAATACAGCATGATTCGTTTTCTCCTCTATAGAAGAGGACTAACAATAGAACCTATCAAAACTATCTAGGGTAGTTTTGAGAACTAAACGAAATATAACACTTTTCAAGAGCTTAGCACAGTGCCTGGTGTATAATAGGAGCTCAGTAAACAATTAGCTAGGTTAATTTGGATTCCAAATTTTATATTTGGAAGAAAAAATGGTAAACACACAGAAAATTTCTTGAAGGATATAACTGATACTAGCAAACGTTAATTTCAGGTAGTAACTCTTTGTTTATTTGTATTTTCTAGTTTTCCCACAATAAATATATAAAATTTATAAAATGTTAACAAAGGTTAATTACAGATAGTTTAACATTTTCTATTTTTATTGGTATTCTAATTTTTTCCACATTTTTAGTACACTAAAAAAATTTTTTAATGATATCACTAACCATTTAATGACATGATAAGCCATTTACAATATACTAATGAGTAAGAAAAGCAGATTAGAAATCAGTATGCATATAAAGCACAACCTCTTTTTTAAAAAAAGTAGATAGATAAAAGAGAGGGAGGAAGGGAAGAATATATACAAAGCCTGTTACGAATGGTTGGATTATGGGTAATTGCTCCTTTTTGCTCATCGTTCCTTCATTTCTTGAACATATTACTTTTGTAAAGAGAAAAATATTATTAAAATATTACTAAACATGTCCAAACTGAGCTCATATCCTCCTCCACAAACCTGTTTCTCTTTATAAATAGCACCATCAATCAATCAATCCCCCAAACTAGAGTCATTCAAATCTCCTTCCTCTTCCTCACTCTTCTGTCATCACTCTTTAGAAGGTTTTACTTTCTAAGCATCTCTCATCTCCTCTCCATCCTCACTGCTTTAGTCCAGAACCTCAATTTTCAGTTGCAACAGGCTTCTGTCTCTAGTCTCGACCTCCCTGTCTCCAGTCTCAGCCCCTAAACTACTGCCCACACTGTTAAGAACGACCCAATCAGATTACCCCTGCTGCTGAAAATATACCACTTCCCTATCATCATCAGAAGAAAAATCCAAACCCCAGCCTACTCCCTCCCGCTTCATCTCCCACCACACACCCTTTTCAAGCAATAATCTAAACCTTTGTGTGCTTTCTCACAAATCAGCACCCTTCCACATTCTACTTCCTCAACTTCAAGTGCCCTCCTTCCCTCTCCTCTTTCTGGCTAAACTCTACTCATCTTTTAAGACTCAGCTCAAGTATCACCTCCCTACTAGAAGCCTTCTCTGACTGCCTCCTCTCCCTCCAACCACTAGGTGAGGTGCCCTTCTTTGTGGCCACATTTATCCCTGCACAGTACGGAATCTGCCTGTTGACTTGTCTGTCTCAGTCTCTGCACTGGGAGCTCCTGAAGGCAGAAACTGTCTCATTTCTGGGCGATGGTATTATAGATGATATTGTTTGCTTCTTTTTTGCTTATCTGCATATTTCTTTTCTCTTTCTTTTAATTATGTAAATAAATTATTGTTGTAAAAGAGTCAAGCAATATAATACAAGTACAGAGTAAAATTATCTGGATTTTTAAAAATTGTATGCCTAGCCAAGTCCCTGACACACACTAAGCTTCTAGTAAAAGGCTACTGAGTAAATGACTGAGACAGCATGATGCAGGGCAGTAAGCCAAGAAGTTATAGAGATCCAACGATATACTTTGGGTCCTTGAATCCCACTATAACCAGAACGGCTCTACTTTTATCTACTTATTGAGCTTCCACATAAAATTCCATCATCCAAAAGGAGGGTTCATACATCCTCAAACAAAATGTCTGAAAACCAGAAGTTATGGGAAAAAACAAGTTGGCAGACCTGAACTCTAGTCCTACTTCTGAAATAAATTAGCTATGCAAGTCACTTTTCCTCTTTAGGGCACAATTTCTCATCTGTTAAACACCTAACACACACACACACACACACACACACACACACACACACACACACACCAGGGATGTTCATTCTCTAAAGTTACTTTTGCTTCCAAATTAAAAAAAAAATGAGATAAAGCACTCAGGTTGCTTCTTTCTCACGTGACAACAGATATCACAATCCAGATATAGTAGTTGGCCATCCGTATCCACAGGTTCTACAGGGGCAGAGTCAACCAACCGCTGATCGAAGGGTCTACGATGGTTGAGTCTGTACTGAATATGTACTGACTTTTTTCCCCTGTCATTATTCCCAAAACAATACAGTATAACAACTATTTCCATAGCACTTCCACTGTATTAAGTATTATAAGTTATCTAGAGATGATTTAAAGTATATGGTAGGGCCGGCCCCATGGCTTAGCAGTTGAGTGCGCGAGCTCCGCTGCTGGCAGCCCGGGTTCGGATCCCAGGCGCGCACTGATGCACCGCTTCTCTGGCCATGCTGAGGCCAAGTCCCACATACAGCAACTAGAAGGATGTGCAGCTATGACATACAACTATCTACTGGGGCTTTGGGGAAACAAATAAATAAAAAATAAAATAAAGTATATGGAAGGATATGCATAGGTTATATGCAAATACTAAGCCATTTTTTATATAAGGGATTTGAGCATCCATGGATTTTGGACCCATGAGAGTCCTGGAACCAATCCCCCGTAGATACCGAGGGACAACTGGAAAAGCGGCTGCCTCCTTGGTTCAGAAGCCACACTGTTTTTTTTCTCCCATTATCGAACCTTTAAGTCTTCCTACAAATACATTTCATAAACTCCTTTCTTTCTTGATGGGGTGTTAGACTTGAGGGACTTGGCTTTAAAATGAACTGATTTGGAGTAGATGAGAAGGAGATGAAACGGTAGCAAGAAACAACCATCAGGAATTGCCATCCCTTTTCTCAAGGATGCCAGAGAAAGGACCTTTATAAAACACTCACCTTTATAAAACAGTTTGAGGAGGGAAACACTAGTTCCTACTCTGATGCCACCCATCCAAATCTCCATTTAGACTGAACCAGGACAAGAAAACTAGATAAGCCACTATAGTCCTAAAAGGACCTCTCAGGAATCACAACTATTTGATGAAAACAGACTTATTAATTCTCCATCTTACTACACCACATCTTTGAGTATGCTGTCTTATACCAGGAAGCCCTAAGTATTCATTAAGGTTTTGAGATAGCCAGGTGGAAGGATTACCTACCTGGTTAAAAGTGGGAGGTGGAGGAGGACCAGGCAGGGGTGGAGGGGGAGGAGGAATTGGCATCCTTGCCCTGCTCGCAGTTGGCACTGCTCTCTCTCCGTTTTAATTTGCAGCTTTAGGTCACTCATATACCTGCAAATGAAACAGAAATTCATTAGAACAACTTTGCCATTAGAGACACTGAGTACCCAGAACTAGAAGACTGATTATGACACCAGAGAGAAACTAAGCACCTCATCTCCTCGTCCCACTGTGATATAGTCCAGGGCTTGGTAAACTTCGCTGTAAAAGGCCAGATAATAAACACTGTAGGCTTTGTAGGAAATATATAGTCTCTGTCGCAAATTATTCTTTGACAACTTTTTTTTTCTCTTTTTTTTTGTGAGGAAGATCAGCCCTGAGCTAACATCTGCCAATCCTCCTCTTTTTGCTGAGGAAGACTGGCCCCGGGCCAACATCCATGCCCATCCTCCTCCACCCTATATGGGACGCCGCCACAGCATGGCCCGACAAGCGGCGCATCGGTGCGGGCCTGGGATCCAATCCGGCGAACCCTGGGCTGCCGCAGTGGAATGCGCGCACCCAACCGCTTGCGCCACCGGGCCAGCACCTTGACAACTTTTTTTAAATTAATAAACTTTTCTTTTTTAGAGTAGTTTTAGGTTCACAGCAAAATTGAACAGAAAGTACAGAGTACCCATAGACCCCTGTTCTCCCCACACACATACAAAGCCTCCCCCACTATCTACGTCCTGCAGGAGTACATTTGTTACAAGTGATGAATCTACATTGACACATCATTGTCACCCAAAATCCATAGTTTACATTAGGGTTCATTCTTGGTGTTGCACATTCTATGTGTTTGGACAAATGTATAATGACAACTACCCACCACTGTAGTATCATACAGAATAATTTCACTGCCCTAAAAATCCTGTCTCTGCCTATTCATCCCTCCTTCCCCTAAACCTCTGGCAGCCACTGATCTTTTTACTGTCTCCATAGTTTTGTCTTTTCCAGAATGCCATCTATTTGGAATCATACAATACGTTGAAATCATATAATATAACTTTTCAGACTAGTGTCTTCCACTTAGTAATATGCATTAGAGGTTCCTCCAAGTCTTCTTATGGCTTGCTACCTCATTCTTTTCAGTGTTGAAGAATCTTCCATTGCCTGAATGTACCACTGTTTGTTTATCCATTCACCTACTGAATGACATCTTGGTTGCTTCCAAGTTGCAGCAATGGATAAAGCTGCTATAAATATCCTTGTGCAGGTTTTTGTGTGGACCTAAGTTTTCAGCTCACTTGAGTAAATACCAAGGAGTGTGACTGCTGGATCATACGGTAAAGACGTTGGTAATAAACTACCAAACTGTCTTCCAAAGTGGCTGTACCATTTTGCATTCCCACTAGCAATGAATGCGAGGTCCTGCTGCTCCACATCCCTGCTAGCATTTGGTGTTGTCAGTGTTTTAGATTTCGGCCATTCTGATAGGTGTGTAGTGGTATCGCATATATCTTCTTTGGTGAGGTGTCTGTTCAGGTCTTTTGCCAGTTTTTAATCAAGTTGTTTGTTTTCTTATTGCTGAGTTTTAAGAGCTGTTTGTATATTTTGGATAACAGTCCTTTATCACATGTGTCTTTTGCAAATATTTTCTCCTAGTCTGTGGCTTGTCTTCTCATTCTCTTGATTTTTACAACATTTTAAAAACGTAGGGCCGGCCCCGTGGCTTAGCGGTTAGGTGTGCGTGCTCCGCTGCTGGCGGCCCAGGTTCAGATCCCGGGCGCGCACCGACGCACCGCTTCTCCGGCCATGCTGGGGGCCACGTCCCACATACAGCAGCTAGAAGGCTGTGCAACTATGACATACAACTATCTACTGGGGCTTTGGCGGGGGGGGGGGGGGCGGAATATAAAAACCATTATTACCTATTAAGTACAAAAAAACTATACAGCTGTCTCCCTATTATAGTCTGTAAGTGATCTTCATTTTACAAATGACACTAAAACCAGAGAACTGTCTTACCCTAAGACATTTAAGTAGGTGGCAAAGATAAAATCAAAACTCAAGAAGAGTAACTACCCCCAAAAAACTGTCCCAAGGAAATCCCACTTCCTGACCCCCCAAAAATCAAAGCCAAAATAACATAACCACCATGAGTATAACTTACAGATGACAAGAAAGGGTGAAGATTGGGTAATCAACCTCACCAATTAATGCATGGAAGAACTGCTTCCAAGTAACGTGATTAATAAGATTAGGACATAGGAAAATTCACAGGTAGCCCTTAGCACAGATGGGAGACCATGTGTATCAAGCCAAGACTTAAAGATCAAACCAGCATGGCAAGCCATTGGGGAGGTGTGGTTCTGAACTCTTTACAGGGACGATCAAAATCTCTCTGCGAATAAAGGAGTAACCACTTAAACATTTCTCTCAATGCCCTGGGAATGATGAAAGGAAAAGGCAAATATTCCAGAGGTTCTATAAAACCAAGAACGTTTGCAGGCGGATAGAATTTGATAAGAAACATGACGGTGGAGGTCTTCAAAATTCCAACTCCTTCCAGCGTAATGCCACTATAGGCTCGCTGTCCAATAGAGCTTTCTGCTCCAATCACAAAGAACTGGACAGTACTTTGGCTAAGTGGTTCCCATGCGGAATGGTATCTGAACTCACTTTAGGAAACAAGCAGCTGACCCCCCTTCAAGGGAAATATCTTCTCGTTTCTGGTTTCAAAGCTAAGTCTAGTCTTTCTTTGCCAGCAATCTAACATACTAGGCTTTAAAAATTGATCAAAATAGTAAATCCTCATAAGGAGAACATCTATCACTGGGGGGGGGGGCAAATTTAAAATAAAAGAAACATATGAAAAAGAAGAAAACTTTCTTCTGTCTGGGGTCATTATGACCATTCCACTCCAGCTCCCACAGCATTCTTCTAAAAAGCTAGTAGTAAACAATAGGAAAAGTAATAGTCTATTCAGAAACAAGTATTTTCAACTAATTCCAGTCACCTCAGTTTCCAGTCTTTTCTGGGTTTCCAGTTCTACCTACCCTTGTCTATTGCCACTGTTGAAATGGTCTCCTAGAAGGAGCTGGAAAAGAGATTCAGACAAGTTCCTAATTTTCTCCATATTCACAGGTGATCCAACCTACATGCTACAGAGTAAGAAATGACCTAAAGGAACAACCTTATGAAGGACAGTAAGCACCATTTATTAGGCAAAGCACTAATTCTCTAGCAAGGCAAATCTTTTTTTAAAGCAACCCCACGGAAAAGACCACTAATATATTACACAGTCAAAGACGCCTTCTTCAAATAGGTTCCATTCAGGGGCTGGCCCGGTGGCCTAGTGGTTAAGTTCAGGGCACTCCACTTCGGCGGCCGGGGTTCGTGGGTTCGAATCCCAGGTGCGGACCTACACAACTCATCAAGCCATGCTGTGGTGGCGTCCTACATATAAAATAGAGGAAGAGGGGTACAGATGCTAGCTCAGGGCCACTGTTCCTCAAGCAAAAAGAGGAAATTGGCAACAGGTGTTAGCTCAGGGCCACTGTTCCTCAAGCAAAAAGAGGAAGATTGGCAACAGGTGTTAGCTCAGGGCCACTCTTCCTCACCAAAAAAAAAAGACTCGGGGCCGGCCCAGTGGCGCAAGCGGTTAGGTGCGCGCACTCCGCTGCGGCGGCCCGGGGTTCGCTGGTTCGGATCCCGGGCGCGCACCGACGCACTGCTTGGCGAGCCATGCTGTGGCGGCGTCCCATATAAAGTGGAGGAAAATGGGCACAGATGTTAGCCCAGGGCCGTCTTCCTCAGCAAAAAAAAAAAAAAAAAAAAAAAGGGGGGGGCGGGAGGTTAAGTTTCAAGACCATTATCTTCAAAAAAAAAAAAAAAAAAAAAGACTCAATTCAAACTTCAATTTCAAAACAGATTCATCCAAAAAAAAAATCACCATCAGGTGACAGGACTTTAGTGTTGAAAAGCGGCAGTGGCCCTCAACCTTTCTTTTGCTTCCCTAAAGACTGCATGTGTGACACACTCCTATCAGTGACATTTAGTATAGAATACACTACGGGAGAGTATTATTGCTTTCCATTTTACAGGTGAAGACACTGAAGCTCCAGGAGTGGCAGTGTATGCATGCACATTAGACAGAGACAGAGACTCACTGATCTAAGGGCAACGGCCCAAGACCACTCAGGAGTAAACTGCAGAGTTAGGACTCAAACCTAGGTCTTCTGATCTCTTTCCATTTCACAAATCACTATGAAAAACATCTCTACTGGATATTGGTTTGGTTTAGCAATTTTCTACTCTTTTCCCCCAAATGAAAATTCAACCCACTCCAAATTTCTATCTTAGTGTTAGAATACAAACAGCTCTCGGTTTTCCGAGAGCAGCCAACTTATGTAAATCTAAATTAATACAACTTTCCTTTCCCTGAAAATCCCCAAAAGAAGCTTTATTCAAACCAAGTTAGTACTGATACTTACAATCACTAATCTAATGCAGAGGTCTGCTTTGAGAACTGCTTTTAGTTAAAAACAAATGAACCAAAAACAGTTCATCAAGTTTTTGTCTCTCTCAAGACAGAGAGATAAATTTTAGTGACCAAGTATTTTTAATCAAAAGACAAATTCAGCCCTTCTGGAAGCACTGTCTATTACAATTTTAAGAACCTTACATCCCTGGGCCGGCCCCGTGGCTTAGTGGTTAAGTGCACGCGCTCCGATGCTGGTGGCCCGGGTTCGGATCCCAGGCGCGCACCGAGGCACCACTTCTCCGTCCATCCTGAGGCCGAGTCCCACATACAGCAGCTAGAAGGATGTGCAGCTATGACATACAACTATCTACTGGGGCTTTGGGGGGAAAAAATAAATAAATAAAATCTTTAAAAAAAAAAAAAAAAATAAGAACCTTACATCCCTGAGGTTAAACCCAAGATTAAACTTAAAAAGAAAAAAAGAGGAGGGGCCGGCCCGGTGGCACAGCAGTTAAGCGCGCGCACTTCGCTTTCCGCGGCGCAGGCTTCGCAAGTTCAGATCCCAGGCGTGCACTGACGAACCGCTTGTCAAGCCATGATGTGGCGGCGTCCCATATAAAGTAGAAGATGGGCATAGATGTTA